TGCAGGGCTGCGCTGGGATCCGGCTTCGGGCCTGCGCTGGCCCAGCCCGCGGGCGCACCCGCTCCCCACGCCGCGCGGGCCCGCGTCCAGTGGGAGGTGGGTTGCAGCACCCCAGGCTCGCTGCTGGCGGATCCTGCAGCCTTCTCTCCACTGACCCCTCCTTCCTTTCTTCCTCCATCCTCCCCTCCCTTCCGGCTCAGGTTTTGTGAATGAATTAGGAGGCGGAGGGTGGTACTAGGCACGCGGCTGGTTGGAGTGCCCCCCAACTGCCTGGGTCTCAGACATGTCCAGGCACTAAGGTCCCTAGCATCCCAGTTCCTGCAATCAAGCACGTGTCCGTGCGGCTGGGATCTCCGTATCCTGCCTGCTCCGAGGAGCCGAGGACGCCTGGGCGCGGAGGAAGGCGCCCCCGCCCCGCGTAAAGTTTCCATCCCGCCGCGTGTGGGCCCCGCAGCAGGGCGCACCTGTCAGCTGGAGAGGCTGCAAAGCCGCCAGCTCCGCCAAGTTCCGCGTGCGCCCTTGGCTGAGGGTTTCTCTCGCTGTCGCCGGGGGACTGGCCTTGAGGAGCGCCCCCACAACCTCATGCGCTTGAGGTGCGTGTTAGCCTGTCTGGGCCCAGCTCGGTGGGTTCTTTCTGCGCAAAGCTAGGAGAGCTAAGGAGAGAGATGGTCTTGGTGATGGGGCACCGTCCACCGGCCTGGGTTGTATGGCCCACTGTCTGAGCTGGAGCACCTCTGCCATAGCTCACACATGAGCGCCTGATTCTATGTGGATCTCGGGCTGCGGGATCTTGGGTGCTTTGTGGGGAGGGGGTGTCTGTCTGGGTAATGTCTCCAGTTCCTTCGGGGAAGGAAGGGACCGGGGATGCCGCCTTTGTCTGCAGGCACACTTTGCCTAGGTAGCTGAGGCCGGGGAGGGTGAACGGGGCGGGGGCGGGGGACGCTGGCCCCACCGTGGTTCCTGGGTTTTCTGGCCCTTCCTGGCCGGGTCGTGGGAAGCGGGCGCGTGGGTGTGGCCAGCACTGCCTTCCCCAGGAGGTGAGGCTCGGCGCGGAGCAGGCGGGGGAAGGCGGTAGGAAGCATGGCCGGTGCCTTCTCGGCCGCGGCAACCTGGGGGGCACCGCCTCCAGCTCAGAGCGGGGCGGAGCGCCTGCCGCCGGCAGGTTGCTGGGCCGGCCTGGGCGCCCCCAGCCTCTTTCAAGCGCGCTGCTGTGGAGCCCGCAGCGCCCCTGCTGCATGCAAGCCCCGGAGGGGACCGAGATGCCGGTGCCCCAGTGCCGCAGGCTTGTGCTAGGAGGGGAGTTCGGGGTGGGGGGAGCCGGGAGTCTGCAGAGGAAGCATGCGACAAGCTCCCCGGGATAGCGGGTCCGAGCGCCAGAGGTCGAGCTTCCCGGAACCATGAGCCTGCCAACAGCTCTTTCCGGACCGAAGCTAAGGGAAGGCTTTAGGCGCCTGAGTTTTAGCCGATTTAAGCAGTGCCTACGTCTTTCCTCTGCCCCCTCCTATGAGTGCAGTAGGGGGTAAGCCTGGCAGGTGTGTTTGTGTTGGGGCTTACGGGGGCGGGGGGGAGGTGGTTCAGTGAGAGCTAGAGCTCAGAAGTAAGAATTCATTGAATGTAGACAGATCCATGGGCGACAAGGAGAAGCCTGGGTGTACAGGGATGCCTGCAGCTTTGTCCTTCCCGTGGGGCCTGGATCTTCCCACCAAGGTGGCCGTGCCCTTCTGAGGATGCTCCCAGGGTTGGAGAAATTATTTACCTGAGACCTGTGAAACAAGAAGCCATTGGAGTAGCCACTGTACCCTGGTGGGCGCCTAGTCTCAGAAAGAATATGGGCAAGGTCGGGCAGCCAGGAAGCAGCAAAGCCAAGTCCTTTTCATTCAAGTACAGCTACTCCCGGCAGGGCAGGTGCTAGGGATTTGTCTTAGTGGAAAAGGGAAACGTGGAAGCATTTCCAGAGGTACCTGAGGAGGGAAGTGAACCCAGCAGTTTCCTGGAGTGGATGGGGCGCCTCCATTTACTGCCCTCTGGCTGCAGGTCCCTTCTGTGCCCTTGAGCACTGAGCCTGTCCACATTCCAACACCCATTCCCTCTCATTTCCCTCATCTGCCTTCCCTTCTGTTCTTGACTCTCAAGTAGATGAGAGAAGGTGAGAAAGCAGAGGACACTGGGAGCATTCTCTCACTGAGTTTGCAGTTTGTTCCCCTGGTGCTTCCTACTGTTTACTGTTGCTGCATGTCTTCTGTGACAAATACCTCCCTCCCTCGTGCCCACTGTGCAGCCCCCGGGAATCCAGACACAGAGGAGCTCTGGTCCCATGGAATGTGTCCCTGCCCTCGTCCTGCAGATGCTCAGAGCTGCATCCAACCTCACAGCTATTGATGGTCACCCATCAGGCACAGCCTCATATGCCATCTTCCAGTTGAGTGTCATGTCATTCTCTTAGGATTTTGATTTGTCTAAAAAGAAATGCTACTCGAAGCACTTTACATAACACAGCCCCTTTTACCTCTGATACACTCCACATCTTAGAGGTAAAATAATTAAGGGGACAAGAAACCATCCAGTTACACAGAAATGATAGAGCTGGGATTTGAGCCCCTGTAATCTGGTTTCTGAATCTAGTCTTAGTCATGCTCAATAAATGGTGGTTGTTATTGGTGGGCTGGTTCCCTTGCTCTCCCCCCCCCACACTGATTGGCTGGAGAAGCTGCTTCCTTCCTGACCCCACATCTCCTGCTTTCCTCTACCAGATGCCGGTGCAGCTGACAACAGCCCTGCGTGTGGTGGGCACCAGCCTCTTTGCCCTGGCAGTGCTGGGTGGCATCCTGGCAGCCTATGTGACAGGCTACCAGTTCATCCACACGGAGAAGCACTACCTGTCCTTCGGCCTATATGGTGCCATCCTGGGCCTGCACCTCCTCATCCAGAGCCTGTTTGCCTTCCTGGAGCACCGACACATGCGGCAGGTTGGTGGACCACTGAAGCTGCGCTCTCCTCAGCGGGCCTCAGTGGCACTCTGCATTGCTGCCTACCAGGAGGACCCTGACTACTTGCGCAAGTGCTTGCGCTCAGCTCAGCGCATCGCCTTCCCTAACCTCAAGGTGGTCATGGTCGTGGATGGCAACCGCCAGGAGGATGCCTACATGCTGGACATCTTTCATGAGGTGCTGGGTGGCACTGAGCAAGCTGGCTTCTTCGTGTGGCGCAGCAACTTCCACGAGGCGGGTGAGGGTGAGACCGAAGCCAGCCTGCAGGAGGGCATGGATCGTGTGCAGGATGTGGTTCGGACCAGCACCTTCTCATGCATCATGCAGAAGTGGGGAGGCAAGCGTGAGGTCATGTACACAGCCTTTAAGGCCCTTGGTGATTCAGTGGACTACATCCAGGTAAGGCAGCCTCCCTGGGAATGTATGCACACCCATTTGTCCAGTCAGTCAGGACCGCTCTCCTCCAGGAATGTGAGGTGCAGTCTAGCTTCTCAAGGTGTTGTGTATAACCCTTTTTTGTCTGGAAGGAGGTAACAAAATGGCATGAGATCAGACCAACTTGGTTTAGAATTCTGGTTGTTCTGGTCTTGGCATTGGACAGGCCTCCAAAATGGTGGCCCAGTAAAGTTGTTGTTATGTGCCATCGAGTTGCCTCATAGTGACCCTGTGTACAACAGCTCTGAAGCCTGCCCTGTCCTGAGCCAGTCTCACCAGCTCTAACACACTCACCCCCCTCCCCCATTCCCCTAGTTACTGTGTCAATCCATCTCATCCTGGGTCTTCCTCTCCTGCCCTGTTCTTCCACCTTTCCAAGCATGATGTCTTTCTCCAAGGATTGGTCCCTCCTGGCCATATGTCCAAAGTATGTGAGTTAGAGTTTCAAAATCCTAGCCTCCAAGGAGAAACTTGGTGTCACCCTCTCCAATAGAGACCTATTTGTTTTCTTGGTGTTCCATGGTATGTTCATTACCCAGTAGTAGTAGTAGTAGTAGTAGTAGTAGTAATAACTAGTGGGTATCTAGCACTTCATTCCAGGTATTTTTGTAGGCACTTTATACATATTAATTCTTTCAATCTTCATCCTGATAGTTACACATCCTGTTACAGCACAGGTAAAATGCAAGCTCAGAGGGGCTAAGTAACTTCCTTAATGTCCCACTGCCAGAAAGGTGGAGAGCCAAGCTTTGAGCCTAAGCCATCTGAGCCAGTTGTTACTCCTCATGCTATATTGCCTCTCCATTGACAATATGAGGATGAGCCTGTCCATATACAAACATTGTAAAGATCAAAAGAAATCCTCAAAGGAACCCAAATGGCTCTACAGTCATGAGTCCAGAAAAGTCCTGCTGTCCACAGTGTCAGGTGTCTGTATGTGTGTTGGGTGTGGTGTGGGGAGAAGGGGTGGACACAGGTGGCCATTAACTGCAGGCTTGGGATTTTTTATAGTAGCCCGGGCAGATAATTCCAGTCCATTGACAGACACTAGCCTGACATTGTATAAAGTTGACAAGGCTGACACACCTTCCAATTTCAAATAAAATGTAGACCTGATAGAGTTAAAGCTTCTGTCTTTAATTGCTGAGTAGAAACAAAGCCAAAGCCATTGGTTTCTGGTCCAGCATCTTCCCCCTTCTACACGACTTCCCTTCTCACTGCTGTTCTCTGCACTTGGCAGTGGGATTTATTCATCACTTGGTAAAGGCATGACTGAACAGTGATGTTCTGGCAGCCTTCCTGGGTACCAGTGCAGATATTGGGGGTTTTTAAAAAATGTTGTTTGGTCAGAAAGTTTATAGAGAAAATGATTTCTCAACTCAAAAATGTCTACTTTGTTTTGTAACATTAGCTGCGATTCCCTCAATGTGACAACACCTCTGCTTCCTCCCTGGGTCCCCCCTTCCCATTGGCACGTCTTCCTGCCTCTTCCTACCTTCTGAGCTTTGTTTTCGGCAGATGCTGCATTTTGGTCTCATTACGGGGTCTCAGTCTTGCTGACAACATATTGAGTCCTTTAAAATTATTTCAATTTTATGTCTTGACTTACTAATGTCTTTTTCCTTTTATGAAAGCTGTATCCTCAGATGAATTGGTATGCTCACCTTTTTCTGTTTTTCTCAGCCCAGGTATCTCCTAGCCTCCTAGGGAGGGATGTGAGGCTAGAAGTTCATCCAAGGTCAAAGGACCTTTATGAAACTTTCCTGGGACCCAAAATCTTAGAAAACGCCTTGAACACTGGAACATGTGCAGGCCACAGTGACACTGCCTGCCACTTCCTTGATGCACAAAATCCCCCTAAAGCTGCCCCACATCTTCCTTTCCCAATGGCTTTGTGTGTTTTAAGGTCTACCGGAGCCCTATCTAATGGCTCTGGGGTCACTGCCCAGAGCCCACCTTGGGCTGCAGCCAGCGACCACTGGATGGATCACAACCCTGCTGCCATGGTTTTCCTGACGTTGGAAAGATTCTGTCCCAGGCAGTGGGGAGACTCATGCAGCACATGAGCTCCCCCTTCCTGGTCATCCATGCTCAGCGAGAAAGATCTCCCTGGTGAAGGGCAGGAAGGAGCAGGGAGACCAGTACTGGGGAGCTTGTGAGTGAGCTAAGGTGGCTCTGGGAGTGTGGCCCCAGGCCCTCTGGGGCCCTCACAGGATGCGATGAGTCCAGTGCAGGGGGAGCAAGCAGCACACCTGAAGGACCCACCTGGTGAGATCACAGCTGATGGCTCTGCCTAGTTCCCCCTCAGCCTCTTGGTGCTGCTTACCTTGGGCCAGCCCCTCTCCCAGCGCAGACGAGGAAAGCTGTGGGGCCTGGAATGTTCGCAGTCTATTGGGAGCTTACTCGTCAACCTTAATAAGTAAGGGTTTTAGACCTTTCCAGGAATTCATCCATGGATACTGTGACTGTAGAGTTAATCAGGGACCAGTGAACCATTTCTTTTCCTACTGTTTAGCTGGACTTTGTAGTATCTCAATCTTTTTAAATAAAATCAATAAGGAGCCATTGGGGTAAGTGTTCACAGCCCAAGTTCAGCTAATGATAGAGTCCTTGTTAGAAGTGGTCCTTTCCTTGGACTGTTGGCAGGCAGAGCAAGGCCAGCTCCTATGCCCACTTAGAGCAAAACCCAGGCAGAATGTGGCCTTGGTTTTAGGGATTTGAGCCAAGTGAGCCTGTTGAGGGAGAGTAGACCTAGTAGCCAGAAAGTGGTCTTGGGAGGGATCTGCGAGGTGTTTGTTTTGTTTTTACTTTTTTAAATTATTATTAATTTTAATGAAAATTTAGAGACTTTGGATTTCCATTCATTCATTGTTGCACTTTTCTCCCTGATCGAGTTTTGAGTAGCTCTTTGCCACTGGAGCTATGCACTGTCCAGGCCAGGGCCTGGGAGAAGGGAAGAGTCCTGTGGGACAGCTTGGACCTGCAGAGGAGCCTGAGATCTTTTGAGGGATGTGTTCAGTCTGTCGTGCCCATCATTTAATTTCAGTGACATTCCCTGGTGCCCTGGAAATATTTCTGAGAAACCACAAGGCTTATAGATTTGACCAGTTTAAGAAATCTCCCCTCTGCAACCTCTATGGAAGGCAGTATGGTACTTTCTCAAAAAGTTGGAAATAGAAATACCATTTGACCCAGCAATTCCGCTACTTGGAATATACCCTAAAGAAACCAGAACTATCACCCAAGTGGATATATGCCTGCCCATGTTTATTACTGCTTTGTTCATGATAGCAGAGAGTTGGAAACAACCCAAGTGCCCATCAACAAATGAATCGATAGAGAAGCTGTGGCATATTCACACAATGGAATACTAGACAGCATTGACAAACAAGGAACTCATAAAATATTATACAAAATTGGTGACCCTGGAGGACATTATGCTGAGTGAAATATCTGCCACAAAAGGACAAATACTGCATAATGCCACTGTTACAAAACAGGACTGACATTGGAGTTGGGGGCAAACTAAGAGAGGGGATAAATGATGTACACTGCATTGAAACATGAGGGAGAGAACTGTTTAAAAGGGAATATATGATTAGGTATTATTTGCATGACAAGAGTTCAGAATAAAAGTTTCATAGTAAAGTGGACTGGGATGGGGGAATTGTATGACGGAATTTTTTCCCCCTTTTTTCAAAGACAAGTGAACTGGGGGTGGGGAGGGGTGAACAGGAAGGAAAATGTGCAACAGTGAATGAATGGGTATAAGAAGAAAGAATCTCCCCTCCCAGACCTGGCACAGTCTCCTGGGTGCCCCTTCTCAGCCTAGAAGCTGGTGTTTGAACTTTCCTTTTCTGTCTTAGACCTTTCAATCCATGTATGTGTCAGGTGAAAGGAGGTTATGTCCTCAGGCAGCAGTAAGCAGCCTGGAGGTGGGGCATGTGGGGTCTCTGTGTATGTTGGCCTGAGGCCAAAGTGGGCTGACAGTGCACTTCTTCTGCAGGTGTGTGACTCTGACACTGTGCTGGATCCAGCGTGTACTATTGAGATGCTCCGAGTCCTGGAGGAGGACCCCCAAGTAGGGGGAGTCGGGGGAGATGTACAAGTAAGAAGTAACCAGGGGTCCCTGAGGGTAGGGGATGTGGCTTTGTTCTTTCTAATTCTCAGGATATGCCTATGCAATGAGTATCTTGACTTCCTGGGATTGAGGGGGGGTCCTCCTTTTGACAGTTTTCTCTGTTATCAAATGGTTTACTTGCTACTTAAGCTTTCTCTGGCTCTTTTTCAGCCTGAGGGGAGGGAAAATCACTAACAAGCACTGCCTGCACTGCTGGGAGGGAATGAGATTTTTGTAGCCCAGGGTCCTGGTTCCTTTTGGGGTGGTGTTAGGGAAGCCCATGTTGTCCCTATAGACATACAGCAGGAAGAAATTAGACAGGACAGTAGAGTCCAGAGGCACATCCTTGGGCAGCCCTGCTCATACTAAGCTTGAGCTGATCAGCTCTAGGCCGTGTGGTATGAATGAGAGGTTAGATCTTCTCCCTGGATGCCACTGATAACATACTAGGAGGCGTGACTGGGTGTTGGCTTTGTGTCTTTCTCAACCTCTGCTCTCTGCCACAGCCCTAGGTTACCTTCTGAGATTAAAGATGGCTTTGGCCACTAAAGTAGTTGAGTTGGAGAAATAAAAAAAAATTGACAAGTGGGGACAGACACAGAGCTGGTGCTGGTTCCTCTAATCTTTGACTTTCCTGGGGCTGGCTGAGCTAGAAGTGACACTAGCAGTGTGCCATGGGGAGGAGTCTTCATGAGCAGTCTGGTCTCCATCTCCTCTGGTTGCCTGTAGGAGAGAAACTGAGTCCCCCTTGGTGTGAGATCCAGCATTTCTGGTTCCCTTGCAGATCCTCAACAAGTATGATTCCTGGATCTCCTTCCTGAGCAGTGTGCGGTACTGGATGGCCTTCAACGTGGAGCGGGCCTGCCAGTCCTACTTTGGCTGTGTGCAGTGTATCAGTGGGCCCTTGGGCATGTACCGCAACAGCCTCCTCCAACAGTTCCTGGAGGACTGGTATCATCAGAAGTTCCTGGGCAGCAAGTGCAGCTTTGGAGATGATAGGCACCTCACCAACCGAGTCCTGAGTCTTGGCTATCGGACTAAGTACACAGCTCGCTCCAAGTGCCTCACAGAGACCCCCACCAAGTACCTCCGGTGGCTCAACCAACAGACCCGCTGGAGCAAGTCTTACTTCCGGGAGTGGCTCTACAACTCTCTCTGGTTCCATAAGCACCACCTCTGGATGACCTATGAATCCGTGGTCACAGGGTTCTTTCCCTTCTTCCTCATTGCCACGGTCATTCAGCTCTTCTACCGTGGTCGTATCTGGAACATCCTTCTCTTTCTGCTGACCGTGCAGCTGGTGGGCATTATTAAGGCCACCTACGCCTGCTTCCTTCGGGGCAATGCAGAAATGATATTCATGTCCCTCTATTCACTCCTTTATATGTCCAGCCTCCTGCCAGCCAAGATCTTTGCCATTGCCACCATCAACAAGTCAGGCTGGGGCACTTCTGGCCGAAAAACCATTGTAGTGAACTTCATTGGCCTCATCCCTGTGTCCATCTGGGTGGCAGTTCTTCTTGGGGGGCTGGCCTACACAGCTTATTGTCAGGACTTGTTCAGTGAAACGGAGTTGGCCTTCCTTGTCTCTGGGGCTATCTTGTATGGCTGCTACTGGGTGGCCCTCCTCATGCTGTATCTGGCCATCATTGCTAGGCGATGTGGGAAGAAGCCTGAGCAGTGCAGCTTGGCTTTTGCAGAGGTGTGACATAGCCCCAGTCAGGGCAGGGGGAAAGTGCAATGAACTTTGGGAGGGAAGGGGAATGGAAGAGAAAAGGTAGGGTGGGAGGGAGACGGGAGTGCTGTGTTTTCTTTTAATGGTCTAGTGGACAAATCTGAAGTGTAAAGAATGATTAACTTCAGTGTGGCCTGTGGCAGCTCTGCTCAGAAGAGGCAACCTCAGAATTGTCAGGATAAGGGGAGAGGGCTGTTTCCAGGCTGTCTGGGGCTTACTTCTGTGCACAGGCAGTGTTTCCTGGGAGAGATTTCCACTTCCTCCCCATGGAATCCAGAAGGAACTCACAAGTGTGCCAAGTTCCATTCACACCAGCTTCATTCTGATGGGTGAAAGCAGTGATGGCTCTTAGGAAGGTTTTCTAGGAAGTCTATCCGAACATGACCATCAGTAGCAGAATACCCACCAAGAGATTTAGGCCAGCTAGTAATGCCCACTCCCAACTCCATCTAGTCATCAGTGCAGTAAGAGTGCCTGAGAAACAAAGCCCAGCAGCCTGGTTTTTGGGCGCATCAGAAAACAGGGTCCGAGAATGGTGCTTTATTGTGTGAGGTATCCCACCCTGCATCTCAGGATCCCAGTGATAAGCCTAACCAGCAGGGAGTTGGCCTTTCACAGGTTTTTAAACATGTCTATGTATGTGTGTATGTTGAAAAGGAAAGCTTGCCCTGCTCAGAGGTGCAGTAAGAACTGCAGTGTTGTCCAAGGCTAAGAGCTTTAAGGAGGCCTTGGGCTGAATGCAGTCCAGTTGGGGATTGCTGAGACTTAGCTGCTCTGTTGGGAAGATGCCATCTACAAGAAATGTTAAACCTCAACATGGCTTAGAGAGGAAATGTGAGGTTGCAAGAACATACATACTCCTAAATTTCTAATTCAGCTCTGGTCTGGGTCTCTAACAGCCTCAATTTTCTTCAAAGGTATGCTTCTTTGGCTAACTAGAGTCATCACTTCCATCTTCATCATGGCTAAATTGTTCAAGGTGGTTGGTAGCTAGAGCAGAGCCTGGGTTCTGTTACCCCTGCAATAGGCAAACTTGCCCTTGAACACAGGGCAAGATTAGGGACCTCTGACCAAACAGGCTACACTCTTGTTGCTATTTGCACAGAGATTCTTCAGCAGTTAGTGAGCCCAAGTAGTTCCAGCCTATAATTAGTTCTTGACTGTCATCTCCAGTGAAAAGCTTTTTCAGTCCTTAAATGAACAATGAAACCCAAGCTGATCAACTGTGACGTGACCATGCCCGGTTCTTCTCGATGAAATTCTTAACAGCTATGTTTTAGAGTCCTTGCATTTCTCTCGATGAAATTCTTTAACAGCTATGTTCTAGAGTCCTTGCATTTCCTTGTTTTCATGCCTTTTTGAGGCTGCTTCATTCCAGCTAGTCTTTTGCTTTCTTGGTTATGTTCAGGGGAAGAATTTTTTAGTGATTTGCAATCCAGACTACTTTCAGCTCTTGTGTTGAAACCTTCCTGGGATCTTGACTTAATTAAGCCTTTGAGTATTACTTGCTCTTTTCTCAAATTTCCATTCTACATGGGGCCAGTTAACCTCTCTAGCACTAACAGGGTAGTTGAGGGTGCTAGCTTCTTAAATGTATCCAGGTGCTTCCTACAGAAGAATCAAGTGTCCTCTGAGCCAGATGGGCAAACTCTGGTGCTTTCCTTCATCTCCCATGCATTAAAGGGATTTCCAGGTGCAGCTCAAGTTGTTCCATCACACAGACCTCCAGGGTTTCTGACAAGACTGCTTAGTGTTGGGCCTAACCCATGAAGGCTGGAAAGGAGCAGGCATTTGCTAAAGGCAGTTCTTCTAGGCTCTTCCGGGTCTTTTGCTGGCCAAGAGGTAAACTATTTTGAGCTACAATGAAGGAAATCCGGTCCGGTAACTGCAGAGCTGAGATTCACTAAGGGCTTGGTTTTTCTTCAGTATTTACTTGAAAGTTAATATAGGAGATGGACTCCGGATGGAGAAAGAACTCCTGGCTATCCTACCATCAGTACTGCCTTGCACTGTAGTTGTCAACTTTCCTTAGATCACAAGCAAGTGCAGGTAGCAGGCTTACAACGTTTGACCTCGACTGGCTTTTCTAAGTTATTTTGTACTTTTTTTTAGCAGCAAAAAAAACCAAACTGGGTCTTGAGCTTTTTCCAGTTTCTTGTAAGGGAAGAGCCTTTATACAATGACACATTTTGGTTTTTCCTCACTTTTGAGAATTTTAACTCTTTTTGTATTATTTCTACAGTAACTTGTAAACATATTTATTTTTCCTTTTTTTTTTTTACACTTATCAGGTCAACTTTTTTATACTCCACTTATTTGTCAAAATAAAGATTCTCATATAATGCTGGTATCTGAGCTACTTCCTTCTCCTTTGTACTTAATGCAAATTAGCTTTTAGAGGTACATCGGACAGAAATGCAGCTTTGTCAAAGGTAATTTCAGTGAACTCAAGAGGAACTGTCATTGTTACTTCTAGATCTGGGGAGAACAGTAGACCCACCTGGGTCACAAGTGCACACCAAAGGGGCTTAACTTTAAAGTAGAAGTGGGTAAGGTCTTAGGTAAGTAACTGGCAGAAGGAGCCAACTCAAGGCCCAAACCAACTCTTGCTCACTGCACTCACCTGGCAGATAATGTAATACTAGCTATGTTGAAACCTTTAAAAGCAGCAGATATGTTTCCCTGTGAAACAGGTAACAAAATGAGTGGTTTCAGAAGCCTTCTCATCCCATTTATTAAAGAAACAGTAAGAAAAGATACAATGCAGGAAAAACAACCATCCTTCACATCAGGCTGAACAAAAGCACAGTGATTTCTCCCCTTTACCCAACCCCCACCCAGTTCCAAGAGTCCCATCCACATACATCAGTTGAAATTTTGAGGTTCTTTGATTGGGAGTACCAGTGGAGAAGGAGCTGGATGAATAGTGGGGCCTCAGTTCTGGCCTCCCAAGTCCCAAGAGGAAGGAGCCTCAGAAGTATTTGGTGGCTTTCTGAAGTGGCTGTCCACCTCCCTGTTCAAGCCCCCAGGGATAGGTATGGCAGTAGAGAATGACCAGGTCCAAGCTGCCCCGGTCACAGAGCTACCGAAGCATGGTCCATTCACCAATGCAACATTTCTACAAAGCAGTCAGCTGATTCTCCAGTGATGAGCAGGGGAATACATATGAATTAGGACCTGCAGGTCAATGTATCCCTGAGGAAAAGTCCACGAGAACAAGTCAAGAACTAGTAAGAAACAAGGGGCAGAAAGCTGTGGGACAAAAGCACAGCAGGCTTCTGCAAGGCTGGAGATCCTCAAAGCCAAGATCACTTCCACCCACCAAAGTCCATGTCCCACAAATAACATTTCACTGTTAGTCAAGAAAGTAGTTTGAAAAATATGGCTCATCTGATTTTGAGCCCCAGCTATGTACTTCAGATCACAGCTCCTTACTTCCCTTTTACCTAAGGATAGCTGTTGCCCAGAACCACAGTGCCTGTACACCAAAGAGGTACTGGAAAGAAAATGGAGCTTAAGGGGGTAACATTCCATTTGGGTACATTGCAGCCACAGGACCCCCAGGTCTTGGGAAACCAGCTGGGTTTGTGCCAGGGAGGCTCCCAACTCTAGGAAATGGGACTATCGCCTTGGTTACTGGGCCATTCATTCTTGGAAAAGAAGCTGGGTTTAGACCCAGAGACCCAGCTGCCCTTGCAAAAGGAGCTGGGTTAATACCCACAGGTCCTGCTGGGGAAGCTCCCAGGGGCCCAGCAGCTGACCGAGGGAAACCAACTTGGCCAGGACCTAGTGGGCCAGTAGACCTTGGAAAGGTAGCTGGATTTGGACCTTGTAGACCAGTGGCCCTTGGGAAGTTAGCTGGGTTGGGGCCTAATGGTCCAGAGGCTCTTGGGAAAATTGCTGCACTTGAGCCCTGGAGGCCAGCAGATCTTTGAAAGGTAGCAGGATTTGAAGCCAATGAGCCAGAAGGCTGAGAGAAGGCAGCTGGGTTTAGTCCCCCTGAGCCTGTCCCCCGTGGGAAGGGATTGGCATTTATTCCCATAGGGCCAGTTGGCCTTGAGAAATGAGTTGAATTAGGGCCCATGGGACCAGGAACCCGAGACATGGCAGATGGATTTGGCCCTGGGAAGCCAATTCCCCGAGAGCCAGGACCCGAGTTTGGGCCTATCGGACCAGGTACTCTTGTCACAGAAGATGGGTTTGTGCCTATGTTTCCAGAAGCCTGTGAGAGAGCAGCTGAATTTGCTCCTAAAAGACCTGTTGCTCTTAGAATGGGGGCAAGATCTAGGCCTTGAGGCCCAGCCATTCTTAGATTAAGACCAGATCCTGTACCCAAGAGACCACTACCTGCTCTGGTGTCCAGGTTAGGGCCTGGGCCTAGGCCACCTACCCTTGGATTGGGACCAAGGCCTGGGCCTAGGCCACCCACCCTTGGGTTAGGTCCAAGGCCTGGACCCAGACCACCCACTCTTGGGTTGGGTCCAATTCCTGGACCGAGGCCACTTGCTCTTGGGTTGGGTCCAAGGCCTGGGCCTTGAAGCATGCCTGACCTGGGGGCAGGATTTGTACCTATAAAGCCTGATCTCAAATTGGGAGTTGGTCCTGGGCCCAGGCCAACTGGCCTAGGATTGGGAGGACCATTCCCAGAGGCCAGAAGAACACCTGCTCTTAAATTGGGCCCAGATCCAGGGCCTATGGGGCCACCACTTCTGGGGTCAGGACCTGCTCCCAGAAGACCACCTGTCCTTGGGTTAGACATAGGACCTGCATTAGGGAGACCTCCTAGCTTTGGGTTGGACAGAGGACCCGTACTTGGGAGACCTCCTAGTCTTGGGTTAGACAGAGGTCCTGGGCCTGGAAGAGCCCCTGCTCTAGCATTTAGAGCTGAGCCAGGGCCAGGGCCCGGGCCCGGGCCTAAAAGGCCGCTTGGCCTTGGGAAGGAAATGGCGCCTGTGCCAGTGGGATTCATCCCTCTTGGAAAAGAAGCCATACCTGGGTCACGAGCACCAACAGGGAAAGGCGCTGGGTTTGAAGCCAATGAGCCTGATGGTGTTGGGAAAGGAGATGGGTTCCTTGGAAATGGGGCCAGATTTCCACCAAGAGAACCAGCTGCCATAAGAAAGGGATCTGAGTTCACACACAGTGGGTTGCCTGTGTTCAGAATGGGACCCCCTTGTGGTCCCAGGGAACTGTTGAGCTGCTCTCGGGGTGGCAGCGGAGCACGTGTCCAAGGAGTTGGCCGGTCTCTAGGGAAAATCCGAGGTTCTTTCATACTTTCTTGGGGACGCTGGTGATAATGGGCTTGGGGCGAGTTTTGAAAAGAATCTTGTTTTTGATGAGTGCAGTCACCAGGTAACGGGTGCCAGTCTTACAGTCAAGTTCATCAGCGTCCTGCTCGCCAGGTGTGTGTTTGACAAGAACAGCAAACGGTTTCTCCAGGTGGATGATTTTCCCATACAGAATATGATGTCCCACGATCAGCACAGGAACCCCCTTTGACAGAATTAAAAATAAAATACTTAAGTCATAACACCCAAGTACCTTGTGAAGCCACTCTTGGTGAGCAATTCTGGCACCTCCCTTCTCTAGTCTGGTTCTACCAAAGTTGAGTGCTTGGACCCTCATACTCTTTTTAAGCTTCCTAGTCCCACATAAAAGGATGTCCACTTTCAGAAATGTGATCCTTCAAGATTCCCAAAGTTAAGTTTCCCTGCTACTACACAAGGTTAGGGAAAACAAGCAGTGAACTCCACAGACTAGCTAGACCTTGAACAAACCTGAGGCAGTCTTCACTCTGGGTCCTGGGAGCACCACCTTGGTGGGGCTTGCTTTCCTAAGGCAGTAGGGAGGGAAAAGAAAGCCCCCTCACCTCAGTGGTGTAATGTAGGTCTCCCAGGAGGTTTCCAGCTAATCCGGTGCTGTAGCGAGCCTCGATCTCCCCCTGGAGTTCCATCAGCACCCATTCTGCCAGGCCTCCAGTCCTAGCACTGCAAGCAAAGGGCTGGTGGTTACAATATTTTTAAGAGGTAAAGGATGAGTAGTGTCTTACACCACCATTCAAGGCCCAGAGGACTGTTCCCTTGAATATAAGTTCCTGGGAAATGGGGCAGTACTAGGCACTGAGTTAGAAAGTGAAATAAAAGGATTTGTGAGAGGGACCTAAGGACCCTGATTCTCTCAAGGAAACCACAAACCTGTACAGTCCTAAGCATTCATGCTAAAAGAAGACAGCCCCAAACATACTCACCTGGAGATAATAATTTGTACCATGAGCTTTCTGTCTTTTAAAAGCAAATGAAAACAAACTGGGGGGAGAGAGAAGAAAAAAAATATTTAGGGCAATAATAACATAGCAAGTATTTATCACTTATGTGTGAAGCACTTTTCTAAATACCTTACAGTGCTCTCATTTTATTCTCTGAACAACCCTGTATGAGGTCTTACTACTGCTATTGTAAATAAAAAGTTGCTACAGATCACCGGTATTGAGCCACAACACGGAAAGTTAATAGGAAAAATTGAGTTTCAGGTTATACAGCTATTAAGTCAAAGCCCAGAATTTAAACCTAAGATATCTTATGTATTAGAGCCCAGTTTTTCTCATTTTTAAATTACTATTTAAGTGGAAGATTACAAAGCAAATTAGTTTTTCATTCAATCACATACATTTTGTTTTATAACACTGTTAGAACACCCTTTCCCCATTTCCTCCCTCTTGTAATCTTCACTAATGCCTCTATCCTATCGCTTCTTTTCTTCTGTGCTTCATTCTTGGGCAAATGCTGCAATTTTGACCCTGTATGGTTAGGTGTGTGTCACCCTAGCCTCCTTACTGGTCACTTTACTGCCTATCTGAAAACTAAGCTTGAGTGGTGAGTTTTGTTCCAGGCTTGATGGGTGAGGAGGGCCAGTCTCAGGGGCCAGTAGTTAACACTACTAAACATTGTGTTAACTTGCCTTTGTCAAAGACATTCCACTTTCTATGTATTTCTTTAAAATGAAGGTACTTTTTATTTAAAGAGTTTACATTTTCTTGCTTTGCCTATTTTATGATATTCTAAAGACTCCCTTTAAGTTAAAGCTAAGGCAACCAAAAGTAATTCTCTAGGTAACTTTCATGAATGGTAATTCTTTATGATCTTCCACTTAAGATATGACTGTACCCCGTTTAAATCCACCAGATGCTCTGCTGGAGAAGGTGGGGCAATCTCCTTCTGTACCCCTGTCGGATCTGATTTGACGGTACACACACACAAAATTATATATGATATGACTGTACCCCAAAACATACTTATACAACAGCACCACCTGCTGGCAAGTTTGGTGTATTCTACAAAGATGGGAGAGTGAGTACCCTCACCTCCAGTTAACTGGTTTCTTTTGTACTTGTGTCCCTCAGGGAATGAGATTTCCTGGGTTTGGGAGGTAGGGGGTCTAAAGTGCTTCTCCCAATATATAGGGATTTTTTTGAGGGTAAAATAGTTATTAGAAAGTTCCATTCCCAAAGAGAAAGATCTCACTCCCTAAAAGGAAATATGGAGGGGAGGCCCAATATATAGGTATTTTAACTGTGCTCAAGTTTAGGAAATACCTGACCCGTTAAATAGGCTTCATTACTTCTACGCTTTCATTCTGAGGATAACGAATCCCAGGAAAAATCAGCCCTATGAGATAGCAAAACCTGTATTTCTAGAATACCAAACTGTGGGAACATGGACTTGGTCAACTCACTGGACTTTTACTCAAACTGTTCTATGGATTTAACATGGTACACACATACAGCTCACTCACTCACTGCCAGCAAGTCGGAAATAACTCATAGCTTTAAGTTTCTGAGGCAGCACAGGTGGAGATCGCCTATCCACCTTTCTTCCAAGGAGCCTCTGGTGGATTGAAACTGCTCGAGAGGCATGACCTTTGGTTAGCAGAGCAGCTCTCAACTGCAGCACCAGAGGTCCTGGTGGAGACTCCCACTCAACTATGACAGTTCTATGAAATAGAACTATCTAGAAATGAGGCTACTGAGTATAGATTCAATCATTTGCCTTCAGTCACAGTGTAAGACACAACCAGTAAAGAACCTGGGTCATCTGATTTTTATCTGCACTTAGAATCACCAAAGAAGAAAACTAGGCGCTAATGAGGGTGGAAAGGCACCAAGGCAGAAGGCAGGTGCTCAGTAGAGTCAAGCGGTGTCCATAAACGAAAGGGAAATCAAGAGAACATTTGCAAATAAGCCAGACTTTCTTTTCTGCAGCAGCTCTGGATGTGGAACCACCTGACATACCACTACCATCTGCATAAACATGATGAGTATTTTAATTAACCATTTAGAATCAAGGGTCCCCAATTAGGGTTCCAGGCTGTAGCTATAGAACTCTTTTAACTGTATGACCTCGTACAAGGCACTTGATTACGGGGCCAACATAGCATTTGTCTCTTTCAACTACTGTGAAATCAATGACGACATTTTCAACATTTACTGTTAATAGCTAATTTCCTACAAAGTGAAATAAATCAGCATGTCCAGAATGACAAGCAAATCTATGAGAAGTCTCAATAACTAGAAACTGAAAAGATGTGACATTTCTTAAGATCAGGAAATCAATCTGGAGAGAAAGGGTTCTTGTAAGTTTCTGCTGACTGATGAGGCAGTGTGTCTTCCTTAATGAGCATGTTATATATGGTAAAATAAGGTGGTTGTAGAGAGGCAACACAGGTACATGAATCTCTAAATTGTTTTAAGGAGGGAGATCAAGAGATTTTTGAAATTGAGTTAGAAGGCAGTGTTTTCCTCTCTGGTAACAGAGCACTGGGAGGAAATGATAAAGTTGTTTCTGGCCACGTGTTTGATATCAGGTGTGTGGATTGCTTAGGGAAAGGGAATACGGAATTATTTCCCACTTCCTAAGCAGTTTTCTGTTAAAACAGGGCTTCCAAACTATAGCCAAAGTTGGCCAAAGAAAAACATTGTCTGGAAAATGGGGCAGAGATGCAATCTTCATTGGTGCTTGAATGAACACACATCTTTATCACTGCCCAGATCCACCTGTTATAAGAGCGGACACCTAGCGATGCTCCCGAACAGCAGCATTGTGCGACCCAGTGTCACTCTTCTGCAACTATAGTCTGGCCTTTCTTGTACTAGACCTTCTAGGATGGTGCAGACATGTACTCAATGGAAGTGGTCAAGCTTATGAGCATTGCTCATGGGACCTGTGTGCTGAACTTAGATTTCTGTACATGGCGATGCATTTACCTAGTTAAGAAATAAGAGAATGGCATCACTTTAATTGATCTGAAATAGCCTATGGTTTTCACATCTGAGTTCTATTTTTTTCTTGTTCCTTGAGATTACAAGCAAATGTTCTCAGGGCTAAAATAGGTAGGTATGCCAGCTTACTTCAGTGAGGGACCATGGGATGGAAGCAGTAGGGAATATGTAATTCCCTTAGCATATAGCAACTTGTTCTCATCCCCTTGAAAGCAAGCAGAAAAAAACAGATGGGGGAGGATAAAGAGGTATAAATAATCCTAATCCTAGTGTAACAAATTGTAAATAGTAACATAATGAAAAATCTGTGTAACAGTTCTCTAAAACTTCTGCCTCAATTCACTTATTCTACCCAAGTTAGAGAAACATCTGGAGCAATCTCTGGTGGCCAAGTGGTAAGAAACTATGCTGTAAACACAAATGCATGTGGTTCAAATCCACTAACCACTTTGAAGGAGAAATATGGGCAACCTCCTCCTAATTAAATTGCCTCTGAAAACCCACCGGAGAGTAATCTGAGTCAGTTTTCAAGTCGTTGGCGCAGAAAAGAGAAATTTCTAGACATTTGTTCTAGGATCTGGCTTGTGTAGAAACCCACCTTATTTGAAAAATGTTACATGAGGAGCACACTATCATGAAACTAAAAGGGAGTCAATGGAAGAAGTCTCCCAGTGCTGACCTCTCTTAATCTCAGGTCTGACTGGATCTAACTCTCAAGAACAAGAATTCTAGTCTAAAAAAGGTAATTATAGAGCCTGAAAAGAATCTCTTGAGTTTGTGGATTTTCAATGAGATGTTTAAACTCACTTGTATTTTCAGAGCATCATCAGTCTCATTGGTCATAGGAAATGTACTCCCTGCTACTTCTAATTTCCCAAGGGGAGAAATGATTGCTATTCAGTTTTTCTGAGCCTGCACATAGGCAAGCAAATGAAACAGCACAGAAGTTCTATATGCGTATGCCAGGCTTCAGTTCTGAAACAAATTCTAAAAAACTTTGTAAATGTTAGTTCTCATCCAAACTTTTTTCCTATTAAAGTTGTTTCTTCTACAGATGTCTTTTTCTAAAGATGCTGCCCAACTAAGTTTGTTCTAATCATTCCTAGCTTTATGATCTGGAATTAGTTAATGGGTCCTGAATAAAGTAAAACTACTGCTGCTTATCCAAATGACCCCTGAACCAACCTTCATTCTTAGAGTCAATCCAGACACACAAATGGAGCTCTAACCACAACTCAAAACATCAGGTTGGAACCAGACCAATCTGGAACACATCTGCCATTTGGGCTCTACCTCAATTTTGAAGTTAGTAACTATTAAAATTACAAAGAACCTTGGAGGAGGGGGTGTTGGGAAACTACATTTTGTCGTCTTGTAAAAACATCCTGACAACAGCTTTGAGATGGGCAATGGTTTATTAAGTTGAGAGAAGTATAAACAACTGGTTTGCATATCTCTCATTCTCTGGCATTTGAATTACTAAATTAACTACAGGAAACAATCTCAAGGAACAATTAAGCCACGATCTACATAATGGCAGGTGCCCTGGAAAGAAAATGTTTCAGAAGTGTGGCATTTATTTGTGGCAAAACAGAATATCTAACTTTTAAAGAAGAAAAAAAAAGAATGGCTTAAATTCCATAATTTAACCTAATTACAGATAATTAAATTCTACTAGTGTTTTTAAAAATATTTTAACTTCCCAATTCTTAAAAAATCCATTTTCAGAAATTAAATGACAAAATATGCCTGAAAACTGTTTTGACAGCATTTATTGTGTTATTTTGTATACCTAATGAATACAAATTGTCAGGCAAACTTGAATTGTCATCTATGAGAGAAGGGAATTTACTGATTTCAGTTTTCCCACCAATAAATAGGGCATAAAACTATCTGTCCCACAGGATTGTTTTGAAAATAAGGTGATGAATGTAAGCCTTCAGGGCAGCGATCTGAGGAATGTGGCATTTTCTCAGCACAAATCTATTAGAATCCTTTACTATGGAATTAACAATTTAACTGTTTACAGTGAACCAAAACATCTTAAAAAAGCAGTATGTTAAAAATTAAAAATCATTAGAACAGGAAAGTAATTAAAACACAGCAGTCAGGATTCACCATAGTTTCTGGGATTTGGTTTTGGAAGGTCATTGCTGTAAATATGATGACCATTTCTCGATGTACCTTTCAATCAAGTGAAAAATTCAAGACATTTTATATACAATTCAATCCAGATTCTTTTTATTAGCAGTGACATTGGGGTTTTGTGAAAGGGATCTTGTCTTTGACAGGCGTCAATGCCAAATCTTTTCTAAAAGTGAAGCCAGCAGCCTCCCAAAGGGGGAAGTGTGTGTGTGGGGGGGTAAGTGGAACTGAATGCTTCCAAACTTTTTAGTGAATTGTGTTCAAAAACGTGCGTGGGTACTCTGCATACACGTGGAACTTTCTCATCACATTTTAGGATTCCCTTGTTGAAGGGAATCAATTACTGGCATTTGTAGACAATGGGTGGAAAAGATGGCTTCAGTCGATCTGAGTTACTCCAGTTTTCTCCATCTTCTGCTACTCTGCAGTCCTATTGCAACCTTCCACCTCTTCCTGCTATGCTGCCCTATTTTCCGCTAAAGTTCCCTCCCTCCTAGTTGTTCTTGGGGTCTCTCTAGAAACGGAATTCTCCTCCCAACAGCCCCCAACTTCTCCACCCCCTCCCCTAGCCCACTTCGCAGTTTAACCGAAAACTACAAACACTTCCGCCCATTTCTAGTCCCTCCTACCTTCTGGGATTTTTCAATCCGCTTTCCCCTTTTTTCCAATCCCACCAAATTACCTCTAAAGCTCATGTGAACCTGCTTTCCTGGCTGTTTCAATTCCTTCTCCTAGCTCCCAAGGAAACTAATTTTTAAACAGCCGTTTTCCATATCTCCCACTGGAGTGGCCTTTCAAACTGCTCACCTCCTCTCTTCCCAAAGATTACAATCCCCTGCTACCTTCCGCCTCCAAATTGCTCCCCATTCTTTCAAAGCTACAGTGTTTCCCACCTCCAGCATCCTACCCCACCCCTATTCTCATATATTTCATTCAGCCACAAAAACCCCGGGGATCACCCTCCAGACTCTCATCCAACGACTTTCCAAATCACCTTTCCAAACAATCTCCCACCCATTACTGAAAATGTCTCCTCAAACGAACCTTACAGTCCTGATTCCAGGTCGTCTCCCCAACCCAACCCCGCAAAATCGCCTTCCTGCCACTCCCGCTACTTCCTGGGTTCCTGTTCCACCTGGTTCCCGCAAGCTCGCGTACCCAGCTCCCAAGCACCCGGGGAAGAGCCCCGGCCCGCACGTACCTCGAGGTTCCGGCCCGCGCCGCCCCCTTCTCGGTCCTCCGCCCGCGCTTGGCCACCCTTTCCGCCCTTCTGTCGCTCCGCTCCGCCCCACTCGCTCCTTTCCTTCCCTCCCCCTTCGCCTCCCGTCCCCAAACCTTCCCTTCCCCCACAATTCCCAGCCCGCCTAACCCGGGGGCCCCGAAGAGTTCGCCCCCACCTCTGCGCGGCCCTCTCCGCTTCCCTTCCCCCTCCCAACCGCCCCTCAGCTCCCCGCCCCTCCGCTCGCCATTCTTCTACCAGCGCCGCGCGCCCCACGCCCCGCCCGGCCCTAGCTCCCTATCTCCCATTCTTCCGCGGCCTCGCCCCCGTCCCCGGCTTGGCCCTCGCTCCCCAAAGGCCTCCCGTGCCCCCTGCCCGCGGCCTGACCTGCAATGGCGGCCGCCGAGCGCGGCGCCGCGCGGCTAACGGGCGACAACCGAACCTCCCGCCGCCGTCGCCGCCGCCGCGAGCACTGCCTGCGCACTTCCGGTCTCGCGTAAACAAGCACTTCCGGGGCAGAGCACGGGAGCGCGCGCACGTGGGGCCGGGGCTGAGAGAGTTGATTCCGCGGCTGACGGTGAGTTGGGGAAAGGTCTGACGGAGCGGGTGAGGCGGGCTCCTCCGGGGATACGATTATCTGTTTAGGGTGCCCTGCGGAGATCGCCTCGCCTTTTGCACTGGTTTGGGGGGGGTGTCTCTCCACAGACCCCCTAGAGAGGAAAGGGGTGACGGAGGCTTGAGAGCACTTCAGACGGCCGCTGGGCCGTGCCGAGCGCGCCAACCTAGCCGGTGCCTCGATCCTCGGACTCAGTCGAGCGAGTGCGAACCAGAGCCGAGCCTTGCCCTCGCCGGATGTCTCTGTTGACAGCCAGGGGAGAAGGGGGACAAAATAGTCTGAAAGATGCCACACTGGGCATTTCCAGTCACACATCCTGTAGGCCCTCCCGTGAAGAACTCGTGACTGTCACTATATTACTTTGGGTCTGTGAGTTGCAAACTTTAGCCTGCACTAGAGTTGGGAAGAGGTACTCGCTAAAGTAGAGAATTCCTGTCTTCCACTCTTCTCTCTGCAAGAGTAGAATTCAGTAGTGGAACACTGAATCCTGCATTTTTAACCATTTCCCGAGGTGATTTTGCTGAATGATTTCGTCACTAAGAGACTCTGATTTTGGCTGTCAGCGTACCTTGATTTCCTGTCTTTACATAGTTTGGACCAGAATTGGTAAAAGGAAGCCTGCCGTTCTTTTCCTTGGGTCTGGTGGCAGTGTCTCCTCTCTACAAAGGAGAACGTGAGCTTCTGACTCTCACAGCTGGCCAGCTCTGTGCCTCTCTTATATGCATTTTTGGCCTCTCTGTTATATGTTCAGTCTTTATGCACTGAGATCGAGTTCCAAGTTCTTACCCTTCTTTCTGGAAACTTTTTTTTTTTAATTGACAGTATTGTGTGGGTGGGGCTCTGTCTTGATGTTTTGATCCTTTGGTGTTAACATCCTTATTATTTCAGAATATCTTGAGTTGTTGGAGATGATCTGATAAGTTCTTGTGTGGGACATGAAAGCATCATTAGTCAGCTATTCAGTAGTGACTATCAGTGAGGTCTGGTTAAATTCTTCCATCTACAACAGTGATGATCAACTGATGGCATGTTAGAATTTTTATTGCACTTAGAGATTAATAATGACGACTTTTTTTTCTCCTCTTTTTTCTAGGAATGGGTGAATTTAGGGTCCATCGAGTACGCTTCTTTAATTATGTTCCATCAGGGATCCGCTGTGTGGCTTACAATAACCATTCAAACAGATTGGCTGTTTCACGAACAGATGGCACTGTGGAAATTTATAACTTGTCAGCAAATTACTTTCAGGAAAAAGTAAGTCATTCAAGAACCTGATTTGGGATTTCTGGTGCTAATTTGACATCTACAAAACTTTAATGTTTTTAAATTTAAAGAAGTAAAAATGTTAGGATTTTCCTCCTTCTCAGGTTGCTGAGACTACATAAAGAATGTGGCAAATGTAAGTTCTCTTATCAGACTGATGACAGAAGCACAGCATTTTGATCTGTATAATGTTGCTTAAGGAGCTATTGTGGTGTAGTCCATATCCAGTTTCCTCATTAGCACAAAGATTGAATATCTCCAGTGGTTTAAATACACCAGTTCCTTCATGAAGAAAGATAAGTCTCTTCCCTTTGTGATTTACAGCCTTGGAAACCTGATAGAGGATTTCTCAGTTGGAATCAGCTCAATGGCAGTGAGTTTGCAGGGTTTATTTATTTCTTTTTTTATAGTTGATTAGAAAAGTACCATCTAAGAATTGTGTCTCACTTGTCATTTGGAAAGTGACGTCTCTTGGATTCCTTTTGGCCCAACAAGAAGTGAGATGTTTCACACTATTGCTTTATTTCATTTTCGAAGCAGTTTCTGCTGAGTGTCAGTCATCATTTCATTGTTCATTTAGAAGAAAATGATCAACTTTTTAATACCAAGCTCTTTGAGGCAGTAATGGCAGGAAAATGAAACCCCCAAGTTTATCCTTCTGAAAGAATATAGTGTTATATGCCTATATTTGGCAATAAAGGGTGTTTGTAATTTGGTAAAACATCCTTTTGATATATCCAATATTATAGCATCATTCACTACCACCCCCAAAGGTCTTGGTTACTGCCTTTCTTCAGGTGCAGCATTTAATTACATTTGCTGCTGCTGCTGCTGCTGCGCTGCTGCTGCTGCTGCTGTTGCTATTGCTGCTATTGCTATTACATGCCATCGAGTTGCTTAAGACGGCATATACATAGCGACCTTATGTACAACAGTCCTGAACCCTGCTTTATCTTGAGCCAATTTCATCGTCTCTGACCTACCCCCAATACCCTCTCTGCTTTCCCTCTACCCTTGCAAGCATGATGTCTCTCTGTAAGGACTGTTCCCTCCTTGCAACATACCCAAAGTATGTCAGACAGTTCCTTGCCTTCAAGGAATAGCCTAGTTTCACCTCTGTAGGATGAATTCTCTTAGCAATCCATGGTATATTAGTACTCTTCTCCAGAACATCTTAACATATGCTAGGTACCTATATATCCCCAGCAGCCAGATACCTGCATTCCAAATGTTTCTCAATGAACATGTAACAAAAAAAGGAAACACCGTATTCAATGTTACCAGGTTTGTTTCAGTTCATTGCAACTCCATCTGACAAAGTAGAACTGCTTCTACAAGGTTTCTAAGGCTGTAAATCTTGATGGGAATAAACTGCCACATCTTTTTTTCACAGAGGTGCAGGTGGGTTTGAATGCCCACCTTTCAGTTAGCAGTCAAACACTTAACCATTTCATTACCAGAGCTTAAGTGACAAGTACTAGACACTGTTGAGACAAATGTTAGTAGGACTGCCTTCAAGGAGTTTGAAGTCCTGTAGGGGGGAAAGATGAGTAAAGAATTTCCCAAACAGCTGAGGAATAGCATAGAGCCTAGAGTCCTATGAGGGGAGACTGCCTTCTAGTCAAAGGAGAGGTGGATAAAAGTCAGGAAGAAATAGTTGGAGCAAAGGAGTAGAGTAGAGAAAGCATGTAGATTGCCTGTTACTGCTTATAAGTTGTTTATCTTTCTGACTGTACATGTGTTTGTTGAGGGCAGGATTTATGTCTAGTTTCACAGATCTTTTCAGTTGGATAATTATGGAATAAAATCTTGAATTAGAAGGTGGTAGTGGAATCAAATTTTCAAGGAAAAAAATAGATGTATTTCCAACAGAGTCCGTGGATTTAGAGTAGTGCACTGATTTGTGTACCAAAAGGGCTAGTAAAAAATAGTCCAGAGAATATTCTGGAATAAGGAGCAGAGAGAGCCTCTGGCCTAGGTAATTGTTCCAAGTGTGGTTCTTTCTACTCAGATCACTTTTAAAAATTTTTATCTGAATGAAAGTTTCAATCCATTCTTGCTGGCTCTCTTGTTATTTTTTCTTAGAAAAACCATCTTCTGATATTCCACACCCACAGGATTGAGCTAGCACTCTGTTCTAGCACTTCCATACTTTATTTTCACTGCTAACCACAAAAATATGTTGTGTATATGCAGACATTTGTAATGGAAATAAGGGGGGTTGGGGTTTTTTAAATTTTTTCATTTTTTGTGTGTGTACTGTCAAAATCAAATCTGACTGGTACAGGAGGAGGTTGCCTCTCTTCCTCCAGCAGAACATCTGGTGGATTCGAACTGCTTACTTCTGGGATTGCAGTGCAGCTTCTTGCCACTAGGCCATCAGAGCGCCCTTGGAAATAGTGGCTTTTTTGTTTTTTTCATGATTGATATTTTATTGGTTGTTTTAAGGGAAAATAAAGTTTTATGAAAATAATGTTTGCCAGTATATAAAATGTCCTCTGATATTTTGGGTTTGTTTTCTAATTCTAAATGAGTAAAAATTACTAGTTATTACCACCCACCCACAAATAGATTACATTCCGTAGTATGAAAAACATGCTTGTTACATTATGTGATTTTTCTTTTTGTAAATTTATTACAGTTATAATTAATAGTTCATTTGTTTATTTTTTTTACGACTTCACGGCACTTATCAACAACAACAAACCTCAAGTTTGGTGAGAATATCACCCCGTCAGTGATGTTTCTAACTGAATTATCAGGTTTTGCCAGGTGCCTTGTACAAAGTGACTTGAGTTACATTTTTTTTAGTAAGTCAAACATTCCTTAACTGTTATCCCTTATTTTCAGCTATATTCTCTTCATCTCACAGACTTTTTACCCTTTTAGCAGTCCACTTACTCTGCGCAACTTGCCCTTTTAACTTCAAATAAGAACCATTGTCTCTATGCAGCCTCTTTTCAATTAGCTATAAGAATAAAGTGCTCTATTAGGGGTGAAAACTTTTGAATGCCTGGAATGCATTTAGAAATCTGAAACTTCAATGCAAAATTGTAAAGGGTATCATTAATGTATTCTTTTTATTAGACTGCTTTTTAAAGGTATAATTGATTCACAGTATATAAATTGTACAAATAGGTATGTTTTGATCTACATACATGTATATTTATGAAATGAGCAAGACAGCTGCATGGATTTTTAGAACATCACACAGAATCTAAATTTCTTTCTATTGAAAAAGTTTTGCAGGAGTCTTCGTAACAAGAACAAAATACTCTTTATAAAACTAACTAAAATTAGAACCCCTAAATACCAAATTTTATCTTCTCAGTAAGAAGAAACCCTGTGTGATTTCTAGGAAAGTATTGTGTTTCACTCTGGTGCATTGCTGGTAGTTGATGAATTCATGGTATATTAAAAAATTATGTTTCTGTAGTTTTTCCCAGGTCATGAATCTCGAGCAACAGAAGCTTTATGTTGGGCAAAAGGACAGAGACTTTTCAGTGCTGGACTCAATGGAGAAATTATTGAGTATGACCTGCAGGCATTAAACATCAAGTATTCAATGGATGCCTTTGGAGGACCCATTTGGAGCATGACTGCTAGCCCCAGTGGCTCTCAACTTTTGGTCAGTAAGCACCTTGGCAATTTTAACCGATTTCTCTTATGCCCACTGAGTTTCTTACCTGTGTTAATCAAAAAAGGGTATATATGGCAAGTAGCAACTTCAGTCTGAACTGTATCCCATGTGAGCCCAACTAAGATCAGAGTTGATCTTGAGTTTGTTATCTTCCAATTAAATCCCAGGTAGATTTCTAGTTGAGGAGAATGTGCCAATAGCAGGTATCTTACTCTTCATGCCTAACTCTGTAAGTGCTTTTCATGAAATAAATTACTTTTCTACAAGGAAAAACAAATCCATTGTTCTTTTACAGCCTCCCTGCTACTACTTTGAACCTGGATTTATTATTTTGTGAAATGAGAAGATTCAGTTGGTTTAGCATTTTTCCAAACTTTTGGAGACAAAGGGACTATTTTTGTTGTTAGATTTTTTAGGACGTCAGGTCTTCCTGTAGGTTCACAATGAACATTCTCACTCCCACTAACTGCATTTGGGTTGAACCAACTTTAGCAGGGTTTTGGAGATTATAAATCACATGAGAGGAGAATGCCCATCTTTCTCTAGTAGAGTTACTGGTGGACTCGAACTGCCGAATGGTACCATCTTGGGTTAGCATTGCAACACCCTATGGACTACACTACTAGTACTCTACTGTCTTTGTGGTTAGGGAGTTGTGCTGCCAACCCAAAGGCAGGTGCTTCAAATCCCAAAGCTACTCTTTGGGAGAAAGATGAGAAATCTCCCATCTGACTTTACAGCTTCCAAAAACCCACATGAGGGCCAGCTGTGGACTAGTTCAGACTTGATGGCAGTGAGTGAGTTATATTCTGGTTTTGGTCATTATACCAGTATCATACTGTTCTTTGAGGGAGTTCTGGTGGGGTAGTCCATAGGGAATTGGGCCGTTAGCCTGAAGGTAGCTCTTCTCTAGCAGTTCGAATCCACTATTGATGCCATAGGAGAAAGATGGAACAGTCTCATCTTAGGCAATTTACAGTCTCCTGAAAACCTTGATGGCAGTGCACTTAGTGTGTGTGTATATGTATGTACGTATGTGTGCATATATATGTATGTGTATGTATGTAAATATAATCTCAGTGGCAATATACTTTATATTAAAAATTCTCAGAAGTCCATCAACAAGTTAAGTTGAGCAGCTTTGTAAAAATTGCTGTAAAATAGACACAGTGTCATTTTTAACTAGTAACAAGTATACAGTCCCATGCATTAATCACACTTAGTGTTGTGCAGGCTTTACCACGGTTTCCAAATTTTTTCATCACCTGAAACAGAAATTCCAGTAGCCCTTAAGCAGGGACCACTTACTTTCCCTTCCCTTTAGCCCTTGTTGTTGTGTGTGCCGTTGAGTTGGAACAGATCCATAGCTGACCCTCCAGTGGATTTTCAGAACTTCGTGCAGGAGGAGATTGTCCAGCCTTTTCCCTCGGAGCAGCTGGCATATTCGAACCTCATGCCTCTAGGATTGCAGCACAGCTCTTAGCAGAGTTTAGCCCATAGAATCTACAACTTTACCTTCCATCTAGTCTTACTGTGTGCTTTCTGTGTTTGGAACCAACCCATAGCTGACCTTCTAGCAGGTTTTCAGAGGCAGTTAATCGTATGGAAGGAGATTGCCCGTCCTGTGGAGCTGCAAGTGGGTTCAAACAGTATCCCTTCAAGATTACAGCGTAGCTTCATATTGTGAAATTGAACTATAGTATTTCTCAAAAAAAGTTGTGAGTTTTGATTTTTAAAAATTAGAATCGATACTTTTAAAGGTTGATCTGTCATAAATCTTTAGTTCTTTTTTGTTTTGTACTCATTTGTATAAAATCCTGTAATGTTGGAGGCCTCTACTAGGGTAGGGCTTGTATCCCACCCTAAGTCTGTCTCCTTAAGACATTAAATATTTCATTATCTCAATTATGTGCATGTACATGCAGTACAAGTGGCTAATGATAAAATACTTTTAAAATTATTTGAAATGTCATTTGTCATAACTTGGATAAACTATAAGGAGCTGTATATATGTACATCTATGTAAGCAGCTCTGGTGGCATAATGGTAAAGAATTGGGCAGTTGACCAAAAGGCTGGTGGTTCAAATCCACCAACTACTAGGTGGGAGAAAAATGAGAAGTCTCTTGCCATGCATTTTTCTGCCTCTGAAAACCTACTGGAGGGTCAGCTATGACTCACTTCCCACTACATGGTACATAGCAGCAACATTATATGTGTGACTTTTTCTACCTTTTTTCCCTTAATAGATTGGCTGTGAAGATGGATCTGTGAAATTATTTCAAATCACCTCAGACAAAATCCAGTTTGAAAGGAATTTTGAACGGCAGAAAAGTAAGGATATTTTTGTAGTTCAATAAGTAACTAACAGTAAGTTCCTTGGGGATGGGATATTTTCTTATGTTTTCTTTTCTCACAGGCCAGGTCTTTTTGTTGACTTTTTTCAGCAAGCAGGGTACTAGTGCCATCCAAAACCAAGCTTCTTCATGGTGTATCAAAGTTGGGATTACTTGGTTAAATAATAACATGAAAAATCAGAAATCCAGAATAGGAATCTGTGGAATGAAATCTTTTCATGATACAGGGTATATAAAATTTTGAAATTAGAATTTTAATCTTTAGTAGCTGTGCTTTTTAATCTTGCTTAACACATTAAAATTATCTGGAGAAGTTTTTTTAAAAACTTGGTCAGGAACAGTTAATACTGGCTTACAGAACAGGGTGAGTTGTCAAACTTCTGAAGAGGGTGAGAGTAAAAATGTCTTTACAAAATGAAAAGTGAACCTGGTTCAGTCTGTGGGGCATGGTGTTACTGGCATCTCCTCTAGAGGATAGTGACTGACTCACACAATCTCCTAGTCTACATCAGTAATACTTATTTTCTTCTACTCGGATTCATTTATTTGCTATTAATAATCTCTTAGCAGTTATTTTTTAATTATAAAACTAATAACAGCCCTTATAAAAATGTCATGCATTTAGCCAAATACAAGCTAGAAAAGAAACACCTTATTTTAATGTACAGACAACCTTTTAGAACCTTATCTTCTACACTCATATTTTCGTACAAGTACACATACATGAATTCCACCTCACCCCCACCCAACCCCCGAGCTTGTAAATGCAGGTGCCTCTTTCTGTGTCAGTCATGACAATCTGCCTGGCATTCTTTTTTATTTTTTTATTTTAATTTTATTATTTTGTGTGTGTGTGTGTGTCCCTCCTTCTCCAGCAGCAGAGAATCTATTGGATTCAAACTGCAAACCTCTGGGATTATGGTGCAGCTTCTTGCCACTAGGCCACCAGAGCTCCCTTGGCATTCTCTTCTATGATAATCTATAATTTCTTTTACTGAGGAATGAATTGTGCTGCCAGCCTAAAGGGAGGAGGTTTGAATTCATCCGCTCCTAATGGGAGAAAGTTGGGCAAACTCCCGTGTGATTTACAGCCTCTAAAAACTGCTGAAGGGTCATCTGTGAGTTGATCCTTAGTAATGACTGACTAAATTTTTATTTTAAACCAGAGTTATTTAATTTTAACTCTTTAAACCTACACTGCTGTGAACACATTAGTAAACCTTATTTTAAGGCACCCATGAAAATGTTTCTCTTTGATTATTTCCTAATAGTGCAATTCTAGGAATCAAGTCCTAGCCATATTGAAATTTTATTAGCTTACTACCAGCTTTCCTTTAAAGGTTGTACTTGTTTACACAACCATCAACCAGGTACACATTTTAAAGGAAGTATCAAGTATCACATCTGAGAAACCAAAACAGAGTTATTGCTTGTCATTGCTTACATAGAGCTAAACTGAGGTGCAGCAGAGCCAAGATTAGCCTTACAGATAATTGTGGAAGGGAAGCTTAGTTACTCCTTGCTGCGTATTTATGTGTATGTCATTTTCATTTTCTTTTTTTGTTTCGTTTTTGTATAACACCCAAGGTCGCATCCTGAGTCTCAGCTGGCATCCCTCTGGTACCCACCTTGCAGCTGGCTCCATAGACTACATTAGTGTGTTTGATGTCAAATCAGGTGACTATTTTTCTCACTTTATTTGGAGGGTGGGTCTTGTTTGTCCGATTCACATTTCTGAATTTCTAAAAGCTTGAGCCCTTGTCATGCTTTCAGGGATCTTTAGGGTCTGACCTCTTGCTATCCCTTTGTGCCATGCATATATTTTCAGTCTTTTCTCAGCTGCTTTTAGGAGATTTCTTGATTTTTCATTAGGGTGTAGTATTTCTCTTTATACTAGAATTCCCTAACCAGTGCTGCATACGCTGTCAGTTTCCCGTGGAATATCAATAGAGATGGGCTTCTGGCATTCTGGATTTTAAGGTTTTGATAGCACAATTAATGAGAAATGATAATAGAAGGGTAGAAAACCTAGACTTTCTCTGTTCTTGGGCCAAAGAATTAGCTGAGGGAATCAGTGATGCAATTGGTTTCTGCTTTGATAGGTGGGTTTGTTTCTCTGTATTTCCAGTTAAGGTTTGGAGATAAAACAGATCAAGTGTGTTGACTGTATTTCTCTCAAAAGTTGTGACCAAAACAAAAGTCTTTTTTATATCCTCCCACTCCTCAAAGACAATTCGCCAATTATTTTTCTTTTACTTTTTTTTTTTTT